GCCGAGTACCCGTCTGGCAAACGCCCCCCGGCCCCGGCCCCAGAGCCCAGGGAGAAGACGCGAGCCGCCCACCCACCAGGCCTTTGAAGAAGCCCCCGAGGGACTGCCGCCGCTTCTCGGGTCTCCTCTGGGACTTGTCCCCGTTCTGCAGCGAGCTGGCCTCCGCCGCGGCCGGCGCGGCACTCGGGGCCGGCTCTTGGGCTTCCTGCTTGCCGTTCCTCTGCTTGCTGGGCTCGGCGGCCGCCTTCTTGTCCTTGGAGGGGCCGTCTTTGCCCTTCTGGGCCGCGGCCGCCGGTTCCGGCTCGGGCGGCGCGACGGCCTTCTCCGGGGCCTCGGGTGTCTACGGCGAGTTCAAACAGAGCGCGTGTTTAGTGACTGCAAGACGGTGCTCACTAGCAGCTGAATAAATACGTTAAAACAGAGAAGCTCAGAGGTTGGATGGTGGCTACGTTTTCATGAGCCCTGCGTGAGACGGTTAAAAAATAAGGAGAATGTGTAAAATACTTTTTACGGTAGGAGGTCACAGTAGGGGACACATTCATCTGAAAATTCATTCATTCATTCATTCATGCTTTCCCAGGAGGCATTCTGTAAGATTTCTTGAACTAGAACCTGGATTTTCCTTGGAGAGCCACCCTTCATTCATTCCCGGTAGTTTCACGCCTGGACAAAGGCATGTGGCTCAGGCCTGGCCAATCAGAGCACGACATGTGACTGGGCTGCTGTGATTGGCTTAGGCTGGCCAAACTCACATAAAACTGAGTGAATCTCAGAGCTTTGCTAAAACCACCGAGAGAGGTCTGTTCCCTTCCCTTTGGACTTGAAGCTATGAAGATGGAATCCTAGGGCTTGCAGAACCACCACCATTTCCAGGAAAAATCTGCTTGAAAAAGAAGCCATGTGACACAGAGGAAAGCAGAGCTGAGAGACAGAAGAAGAGAAAGAGCCCATGGAGGGATGGCGTCACATATGATCCTGGATCTAGCCGTTCCTGAAGCCCTTTTTCACATGAGTCAGCTTTGAGAGGATTTCTCCCACTGGCAGCCACATGTGACTCTTCTTTGGGGATGCCTATTCTTGTCTTCATGATTATGCCCATCTTAATTTCTGGTGTGAAAGTGTCCTTTCATTTCATAAAACAGTGGTAAAAGAAGATAACTGATTTTTAGTTTTGAACGTACATCTTTTCATGCTAAAGTGAAATGTTTGCAATCCTACTTGGCACCTAGAATTTGGAGGAATGGGGGCTATAAAATCCAAAATTCTAGAAACTACCAGGTACATTGCAGACAACCAAAAACCTGTTAGGAAGTAAAAGCCTTTTTCCCCATAATTTACATGAATCGAAATGGCTATGAGGGCCAGGCAGATAAAACAAAAACATGAAACAGGTTAGGGGTAAGAATGTGGTGACCTTATTTCCCCAGTTGCGCAAGCAACATAAGGCCAAAGAAATACTCCTCTAGTGTGAAAAACAGTTCAAGCAATGCTGGCATTGATGCTGGGGAGACAATTTGGAGTAGGGGGGATTATGGTGAATTGAATGTCACATGCCTTGTTTAAAGGGTCAGCAGTGGCTCAGACCCACCAAAATATCAGAGGTAGGATTATAGCCCCTGTTCTGTCAGAGCCTCTATTTTTTTTTTCCAATGGACACTTGCATTTGAATTACTTTAAATGCAAAATATGTCGATTTTAAAATACTGACATCAAAAGTTTGCAAGCCCTGTTCACAGCAAACCACCACAGCACAAGTACCCCTGTGGGCTACATTTGGCCCGCTGGATATATTATTTATATTTTATGATTCATAAAAGTTACATATTATCCCCAGGTCACAAAGTTCTATGACAAAGTGGCAGTTCTGAGTGAGAGGGCAGCAAGCAGAGAACTGTCCTTTCACATCAGTGGATCAAACACATCCCTTAGAAATGAGCGAGAAGACGGCGAAAACCCCCCAGTCCTCAAGGCCTCCCCAGGCTGCAGCTCCCAGGAGGGCAGAGTTCCTTGGAGAACGAAGCATCAGACATCCAGTGCACCCCCAAGAAGTGGTCCCATCCTGACTATTTCTGTCTGATCTCAGTTGTCAAAGTTGTAGCAAGTGCTAAGACACAGATGTCAAGTACGACAGACAGATACTCGTCTTAGAAGGGTACAGAAACCCCCACCACGCTGCTCTGCAGGAAGGCCAGAAACCAGCGGCCCCTGTTCAAACACCCTGGTAACTTTTTGTTGGGTGGAAGATTTTAAGACACAGTGAGCAGCTAAGAGCTCAGTGTCTGGAGTCAAAGAAACAGTGTGTGGTTCTGGTTTCATCTCAGCCTTGCTGTGTGACCTGGAATAAACTGAGCTCTCAGCTTCCTGTTCTGTATGGGAGGAACAACAACAACAAAAAAATCATACCTCATGGCGTTGTGAGGATTAAATTAGCAATAATGGGAAGCCCACTGGACATGGTGTCGGATGCCAACATTTAGGGACCAACTACTTCGGTCTGTCTAGGAGTGAGGGGGTTCCAGGATATGGAACTTCGAGGTTTAAAACCAGGCAAAGTCCAGGGAAAACTGAGATGAGCCGGTTGTCCTGGCTTACCACCACCGGCGGTGACTGAGAGACCGTTGGTCCGAGTGCCGGGCACAGGTGAGGCTCTCAAGAAATATCCTGGGGGATCGAGTCCCCCTGCCCCTCTCTAACCTCGTCTCCCACCCGTCTCCCTTCTGCTCTTTCTGTTCCAGCCACATGGCCCTTTTCTCCCTTGAACAAGCTTGTTCTCAAATCAGAGCCTCCTATTTGCTGCACTTCTGCTCAGCATGTCTCCAGGGCTTCAGGACTGCTTCTTCCCTCTCAGGTCTCGGATCCCAGGCCCCTCCTTGGAGATGCAGTCCCTGATTGGATGGTCTAAAGAGGCCTGGGTCCCTTCTTGGGGAACACTGATGAATTTTCTTTGCATTTGCAGTCATCTCAGGGATTCCCCTGCTCACTTGAAAACGTTCTGTCTGACTCTCTCTGATGGAAGGAAGCATCAGAGCCCCAAACCCCTGTCTCTTCCACTGCTGTGTCCTTCGCACCTAGCCCGACACATAGTGAGTCTCCATCAAAATGGGTTGAATAAATGGCCTGCAACTCGCCTTCCAAATGTCGCCAAAATATTTCCCTAGACATTTCTCTCGGGTGAGAAGTGGGAAGTCCCCACAAACCAATGGTGCTCATTGGACATTGATTTCTTCTGAGGGGAGATTTCAATGGATCATGTCCATTTACCACATTGTTACTCCATCCCTATTAGGCTTAAGTTTTCTTTTTAAGGCTTAGAGGCTAACTTCTGAAAACGTACATGGCTGGCTCCTTATCTTCAGAGTAAGCTATGAGTCTAAACTGTGTATGAAATGCAGATGACTTAGAACCTTTGCTTGATCCTGCCTCAAAATTTCCGACAAAAATTATTCCCATGTGAATCACTGGAGTGTATCCTCTCCTAGAACCCAATGACGCTGGCAGGAAGCTGGACAAGGTCATGGGAACATCCCATTTGATTCAGACACTAGAAACCAATCAGGCTGGGAATTCCTTGGGCTTTTTTTTTCATAGAAACATTGACTAAGGCTCTTATAACTCTGACAGGGCAAATCTAAAACGAGATGAGACTGTCTGCTCCCACCCCTCAAAATTAAACTAAGCCTTGTCATCTCCCAGTGGTACACACCAATCTTCTCATGGCTGGATCCAAGGCCCTAGAGAACAGAATTCTCAAAACATCCCTCGATGAGTGTAAATACAATGACATTTCCAGCTCATTCAGATTTCCACTGACTTCATTCAGATCTTGAATCACCAAAATGACTGGTAAAACTGTTTCACTGTCAGATTCCACACAAAATGTACAAACACATTTAAGTGTCTCATGGTAAATGAAGTAAGTTTATCATGTTTCCAAGGGAGTTACCTTTGGGATTATTTGTTCCAAAATGGTCTATAATATGGGTTTGGGGGCCAGGTATAGCAGTCAGTTAAAAGAGAAAAATGAAAATAATTTGAATGCAATTAAAAGCAATATATTCCATGTTGAAGTACATAGGATAGACCAATTATTATGGAAACAGAAATATAAATTATTTAGTCATTGCTGGTGTGTGTGTGTGAGATAAACAACATTACAGGGTGGTAAATCCTTAGCAGCAGCATAATAATAATAGTAATAAAACAACAGCAACAGGTCTGGCTTTATATGTCGAAGCCCTAACCCCCAGTGAAGGTACGTGGAGTAAGAAAGTAATTGAGGTTAATTGAGGTCATGTGGATGGAGCCCCGATCCAATAAGATTAGTGTCTTTGTAAGAAGAGACACCAAAGAGCTTGCTCATTCTCCTTTCTATGGTATTTTGTTATGGCAGCTCATGGTGACTAACACAGCAACTAACAATTATTTATTGAGCCTTCTGTACCAGAAATGTTCTAAGTGCTTTACATGTAGAGATTCACCTAAATATGATAGCTCTATGAGGCAGGACTTCTCCTGGCTCCATTATACAGATGAGGAAACTGAGGCACGGAGAGACTGGTAATTTGCCTTTAGTCACCCAGCTGAAAAACAGCTGTGCCAGGATTCAAACCCAGGTAGTTTGAGTCTGCAACCCAGTCTCTTAACCACCTCTCTGTACTGCCAAAATCAGTAGAAGAATATTTGATGACATTTTTGCAGAGGTATATTTTCAAGCTAAGAAAGAGTATTAGCTGAGACACCGCCTTCCTGGGCTTGTCTGGAGTGGTTCACTTCCGACCCTTCCCTACTTGGACAGCACACTGTGTTGTGTGCTACTTATGTGTAATAAACCAAGTGGTACATAAATTGAAAAAAAAAAAAGAAAGAGTGCAGATTATAAAACAGAGTGTTGAACATGAGATGATCCCATTGGGGAAAAAGGAATACATATAGTTATAAAAACATCATAGCTGTTTCTTTAGGATAGAGAAAGTAACAGAAAGGAACCATATGATCCCATGTCTTTCACTCACCAATTCCAGAAACGGCTCCTACTCTGTACCAGGCACCATGCAAGGTGCTAGAAAAATAGAAGAGGCCCCTTCCTTGCTCCATACATGCTCCAGATATGGGCAGGAAGGGGGAGGGGAGACAGGTAACTAATGGACAAGTGATTTATTTCAATGAGTAATAAGTACCATGAAGTAGAACAGGATGCAGTGATGCTGAGTGGAAAGGGAAGGGCTCTTTGAGGAGGTGACATTTGGACCAAGCCTTGAAGGCTGGGAAGGAACTGTCATGTGGAGAAGAAGGGAGAGCATGTGTGAAAGCTCTGCAGTAAGAAACAGCTGAGGAACTCTAGTTCGTTCATGCGTGTGTCTGCAGAGCCCAAGATGGTGCCTGATACACAGTAGGTGCTCAGCTTAGAGATGTCAAATGAGTTGGCCGTGATTGAGGACTGCATTGGAAATGAGGATGGACAGAATCAAGAGCATGCCAACTAAACCCACCACCAAACCGAGTTTCCAGAACACTTACTTGGTAGCTGGAGTCTTTCCCATTTATTTCTTCCGAGTGGGTGGTCCCTCCATCCCCTTTCACTGACTAAAACAGCAAACAGACAATGGCCTCTCAGCTACCACAAGCACAGCAACGTGGCGAACGCAACAGAAGTTCTGCAATGGATGACCTCAGTCATTCATTGTTGAGAGTCAAGGGCAAGGCAAATGGGAGACTGACTAGAAACATATTACTCATGAGACATACACTCTCCATGCGGTCTGTAACCAGAGTCTGATTAAATTCAAGTGTTGGCCTCTAAAAATAACAACAATAAAAGTCTTAAATCCTGGAATTAAGCAAATCTGGGATAAATAAATGATGATGAAAATAGTACTAATGTTGGAACCAGAAGGTGGTTGAACATATCGAATGAATGAATAAATAAACAGTTAAACCATTGGAAGCCATCTACTGGCAACATTTAAGTGGTGAGTGCTTTGTTGTAGTGTTACCCACCCCCCACCCTCACCCCCTGTAGAGAGATGGGCTATTTTCCAACCTTTAGCGGCCCCTGTGGCCAGTGGCATCAGTGACAGGGCTGAATGGGGTTGAATTCACAGCTTTGGCTCCTTCAACCAACAATCTAAGCTAATGGTTCTAAAAGTGTGTACCGGGACCAGCAGCTTAGGCATCACTTGGGAACTTGACAGTAATACAAACTCTTGAGAACTACACCAGATCTCCTGAGTCGAAAGCTCTCAGGGGTGGGGCCCAGCAATCTGTGTTTTAACCAGCCCTCCAGGTGATCCTGAGGCACACTTCAGACAAATGCCGACCACTACTGGGGTCTGTAGGTTCAGCTTCAGATTTAGTAATGCTTCTCTATGCTTGATGCTTGATAAGAGACCTAAGAAATTTGGCGATTAATCGTCCAGTTCTTATCAACAGTTCAGACTGTGTTCTAATTCCTGAATATTTTCTCAGTGCTTATTATGGTCTCCTCCTCCTGGCTATGGAGGGAAGGGACTGTAGGAAGTGAGTGTTAAGCTCTGTGGGGCAAAGAGGAAGACTTCAGATTCCACGGTTACTTTCTTGGCTATTCTGCTTGTAGACAGCAAGAATCCATAACACTTGCCCTAAGAACAGTTAAAAACATCAAAGGCACTCAAAACTTTTTTGGCTGATTAATATCACGTGCCCCCGCAATCTTAAATTAGCAGAGGTAATGAAAATTATTATTTATGAAGACTAAGTTTTAGTGGAGTGCTTACCAAGTGCCCAGAAGTATACAAAATGAGACAATAACATGTGTTAGTCCATCTATTTATCATGCCAGAACCTTGAGATAGAGAAACAATTTTACTTCTCTTATTTCACAGGCAAGAAAATGGAAGCTCTGAGAAACTAGCACGGGTCATGAAACTAGCAGGTTAGGGAGCCATGATTTGTCACTATGGCAACGAGTCCGTGTTCTGCACTCTGAACCACCCCTCGATAGTACCCCTAGAAGGTAGGAGGTACCACTCAGTGAACAGATATTTACTGAGCACCTACTACGAAGCTGCCTACCTAGGAAAAATGATCAGGGCTTGGATAAGATGAAGGTTGAAAATCTCAAATATGGATGTTTGTGGGACACACCTGTCAACAGGGCACAAATGTGCTCATCTCTACTGCTTGTTCTCCAGTTCAGAAGTCCTGACTAGGACTGTCAGTGCTTTAATGCAGTGTGAGAATTCCTAAGTCCCCCCTAGCCCTAGAGCAACCTTTGCAGAGCTAGCCATAGGTTAGACCCTCAATACGTACTTCTCCACTGGTCAGGACTGGAAGAAGTCTTTCCTCAGCCCGAACTCCTGGTGTCCAGAAGTTCCACACACTTTTCTTAGCAGATATCATTGCCATGGGTTTCACCAAGCTGTTCAACCCAAAGGCAAATGTGGATCTGTAGGTACGACTGTGACCCGCTCAGACGGAAAGTGGTTTTTGCCCTTCCTCTGGGTCTTCTGCCTTGTTGTAGAAGGGCTCATTTTGCTTGAGAATATTTAGAAAAACAAATGGATTCTCTTGGTGATTCTCTCTCTCGCCACAGTCGGCTCTCTTAGCTCTTACCCAAAAGTTTTGCCACCTCGGGGTTTCACTGGGCTTCCAGAAATTCAGGCTGTGTTGTAATCGTCCCTCCTACTCAGACACACTCCGGTAGAGTGTCCTTTAGGTCCTGTCCGTGTGAGCTGGCCATTAGGGAATGGCGAATGGCGAAAACCAGCCGACCAACCAACCAACCAACCAACCAGCCGAAATGGCTTTTCAGGCAAACCGAATGCTTTTCAGGGGGCATGCTACTCCCCCCTAAGGGAGAAAGGTTTTTAATTTCCCTTTGATTGTTTCAGTTTGGTATCATGAGGTAGTGGGCCAGACTGAGGTTTAAATTGACTTTCTTCTTTCCTCCTTCCCCTGCTAGGAAGAGGCGAACCTGGATTGAGTCAGAAGGCTCTCTCAACGGCAGTGGATCCAGGCTACCCTCCTGAAAGCAGACCTCCTGCTGCCGGAGACACCACTGCAAAGAGGTTCCAACCCTTAAAAAAATAAATAAGTAAAGGGGAATGCCTCAACCCTCTCCATGATTTTTCTCTGTTGTTCATTTTGAGGCATATAAAGCTACATTTATGCAAAGGTGACGGCTGAGTTTAGTCTAAGGGTCTTACTAAGCCCACCTGAGGTGTCTTCAGCAGCTGTCATTAACAATTCCTTCCTTCCTCCCTTCTTTCCTTGTTCCTTCTCTCCTTTGTTTTCTTTCTTTAAAAAAAAAAATGTTTTCTTCTTTGTTTTCTATCCCTCCTCTTTCCTCCTAGCAGAGCCCTCATTCAGGGACAAATTAAAAGAGTTCACGTTGGGCTTTGTGTTCAAAGGACCATAAGCACAGAAGTTTATTTTTTCCAGCTGTCAAAAATAACAGAGTTGCTGTTGAAAGAGACTAAAAATCCTTTCAGAGACTATTTAGTCCTTTAAAGAACAGTTTGAAGACTATTAAGTAATTTCAGAGATTTCCCAGTGTGATACTGAGCAACTTTCCTTACAGAGTTTATTTTTATTCATGAGAATCAAAGACGAAGCATCTTAGGGCGTCCAGCCTGCAGGGCTGAGATGGGATCTCAGTTGTGAATCCAAGCCTTGCATATTAATGAAGTCACTTCTAAATTTCTTTCATTGTGTCAGGCATTCCTATGGCTTGATACTCTGAAGGGTGTTTGAACCACCTCCCATATGTATCACGTAGATACTCAAAATTCTGGTGGAAGTGTTTGTTTGGTGGCCAGTTCACCTTTCTTTGAAAGAAATGCAAATGTATTTTGATAGAGATTTAATCCAACTGAAGTCAAGATTTAAAAGATGAATTGGGATGACATTTCAGTTTACTCTGAAGACCTCAGCACGATTATTTACCAGATTAGCCTTATTACAACAAATCCAAGGAACCGGACCTGCTAGAAATTCCCAGGATAAACAAAGGCTTTGGGTCCAACCTTCGTGCTTTTCCAAGATACTCGCTTGAAATGGAATCGGATGATTCAGACAAAATTACACAGCCTACGTAAATATCATTTTAGTGACAGGCATATTCAGAAAACTCGCGCCCAAGCGCTATGTGAGTCATGTGTTAATTCTCCTCTCTTTTGCCTTGCTGTAATTTCAGGTAAGCCCAATACATAAAAATGATGCTTCCACGGAAAAGGTTAACAAGAGAATCACAAACATGGAGCTATGGTTGTTCTCTGTTTACTCTCAAAGAACACAGCTGGCAATAACGTGCAGAAAGTGGTAATAACATCTGAGTACAAGGGTGAGCTTCAGCACCACTGAAAACCTGAGTCAGAATTCTGGCTCTGCCCTTTACCGGCTCTGTGACCTCGGGCAGGTCACTGAGACACTCTGAGTCTTCCTGAGCTCATCTGCACAGCGGGGCAGTAAGAGTGTTAGTTTCACAGGGTTTTTATCTTCGTAAATGAGTTACTGCCGGCCATGTGCTTAGCACAGGGCTGGCCGCATCATTTGCATGCAATAAACAAATGGGGCCATTATTATTATTATTATTACTATCAATAGCTGAGACGTGTGCCAAATGACTACCGAATCCCCTTTTGGGGTGGGAAGGAATACAAGTCGCTGGTGAAGACAGGAATTGCCCAAACAATTGCTACTTTCAGAAACCTCTACTCAAAGAACAACTCAGTATTCATGTTTAGTACTCAGGGAAGAATCTGAGATCAAAAACTTGGGCCAGAAGACTCCCGGTTTTTGTTTTATAATGAACCTTACAACCCACCTTCTTTTTTCCTCTAGACAGTGCATTTCTGCAGATTTTCTTAGTCTTCTAGATTGAATGTAATCAACAAAAAAAAACTCTGATTTCACGGCTCTCTCATTTGGGTTTTAAATTTGCCCAACATGAAAGCTCACCATCTTTCTTACCTAAACCAGAGAAGGTTATTTCAACAAAGACTTTCTTGCAAAACTATGGTCTAAAGAAAGAGACAGGAGGAGGATTAAATGAAACAATGTGTGTGACAATAGTTTGGAGGAGGAAAGCACTTTTCAAGTGTAAGGTGTTATTAACACTGACAATTTATAAATCTTCATCTCTGCTTTTCCATCTACCACCTTTCTGGTTTCATCTGCCTACCTGGTTTGCGGAAACACGAACACAGTTCTCTACCCACTCACTTTGTAAAAATATACTAGTGCTTCAACTATGCAATTTCTTGACATACAGTTGAATTAATACATATAAGAATCTTTTTCTATTTAGGGCATGACAGATGTCTTCGTTATTCCTTGTGATTATTCCGAAAGTCTGCAGAAGCTCACGGAATCTTTGTGAAGTGCTGTACCTACACGTGTCCCGTGTGATGTTAAGATTTATAGGACCCTACTTCCTTTTCCCTGAAATATAATTATTTGAAAAATGATATTCATTCTATTTTGAATTTTTACGAAAGGTTAACTTTTGGAAAGAGAAAGCTCTCTTTAGAAATGAACTGGGCAATGTATTTATTAAAAAAACCAAAAACCCACTCAGCCAAGAGGTCCTTTGCCCTGGGAGAGTCAAATATGTTATCTGAAAGAAATTTAAGGGAGGGGAAGGCTAAAAAGTAAGAAATCAATGATCAGATGAATGGAAACACTGATGACAAAAAGAGGGGTGACTCATTTGCCACTGAGTTTTCTCTTCAATTAAATCAATTACTTTAAAAAACTATATTTTGCCAAAAATATCTAAAATTATTTTAAAACATTCACTTATTCAATTATAATGCTCAGGCACATACTCAGAGAAATTTTTTTTTAATCCCATAGTGATGGGGCAGATGCCGTCTCTATTTTCAAGCACTTAGAGCAGTTGTTGTTTTTTTTTTGACCTCTGCATAAATCCAAAGACTAATAAATTAGTTTGGAAGCCATGAAATGTTACCTGAAAGTATTTCCTGGAAATAATTGCTGAAGCTGACTTCCAGGAGTCTACAGGATGGGGATATTAACACATGTGCACAAAATCAGTGTACAAGGATGTTCATGCAGGTTAGCGAGGCAGCTGGGGTCATGTGTGGGAGACACATGGTGTGCGCTCACTGAATGTGGCAGAGGCTTAAAAATAAATCCCTGTTTTCCTAGTTAGGCTTTGTTCTCCATGAGGACAGGGCTCACATCTATTTATGCTCCCTGTTGTATTTCTAGTGCCTGGAATATTGCGGGTGCTTAATAATTAATTATTGGTTGAATAAGTGAATAAATGAAATGCAAAAGGTTGGAAACAAACCAAATGTCCATCAACAGAGCAATGGTTAATCAGAACGTGATCAACCCAGACAATGTGATTCAGTGAAGTTGTTACAAAGAGTGAGGTGGCACTACATCAGGGGCTGCAAACTCAAATACCCACAGGGATAGGACCAGTAACGTAAGTGAGGGAGGTGGGTTCAGTGTGATACCAGGTAGTGGTGGGGATTGTGGTGAACTGGAAAACCCGCGGGCTTTGTGCATTTGAATTAATCACAATGGTAATATAATATTCTAATGAAAACAAAACAGAATGTCAGACAAGAATAATTAGGATTATCTGGGATTTTAGGGGAAACCCCAACAAGCATGGAAGCGTGGGGGTTTAAACCTGAAAAGGAAGCAATAATATTCAAGCTTCCAGGCCTAACCCTTTTAATGGGCAATAGAAAATAAGACCAATGGACATTTGGGGAAAATGTGTCCTTTTTTTAATCCCTATCGCTGTCCCAGGGAAAATCAATTCCAAAGGACTCTTGTTTCCAATTTGTTCCCCTAAGAGTTCAGACTTTGTACACAGTTTCTCCTGCTAGAAAATATCCCCCAGTTGCATACAATGGGTAACTCTGGAGGATGAACTGAAGTATGGAACCTCATTCGAATTTCAGGATTTGTTTTGAATGTATGCAGAGGGTGGTTTGGAGAGCTTTCATGCTTTACTTGGAGTCTCTTATATTTCCCCCTCTTTTAAATGAAGAAGTCTCATGTTGAGTACTTGGAAGAGAAAGTCATTCTGTTTGCTTTTTTTTTTTTTTTTTGTATCCCTCAACTCCATCCAGAAATGAGAAAGCTGGATCATCCTCAATGTTATGATGAGCTATTTGGGGATCCCATTTGTAATTCAGATGGGTTGCCAGAAAGAGGCCAAATGTTCTTTTCTTTCCTGACGTCGTGTAAAAATGGATTTTTAAAAAGTCTCAAACCTTGATGCCCATGTTCAGGGCCAAACTGCAGAGTAAAATGGCCAGGAATATAGACGGGGCTCCAGCCATACGGGTCGCCCACTACTTCTTACTCCACAAGAATCTGACAGCAAAGGAAAAGGATTCCTGTCAACAATTTCTAAGAGAGTGAATTCTAACATGCCTTCTCTCCCACTGGCAAGGTTTTGTTCTGTTTTGTTTTGTGGACTAGAAAGAATTCCTTAACAGGTTGAGCTTGTGAAATGAAGAGAGTTGCTTTCTCAAAGGATAAAATTCCCAAATATTCCTGAAAATAAAGGCCCACAATGATGAAATTCTTGTTTTTCGTTAAAAGAGAATTAAACCAATGATCTTTTACTTGGGTTTTTGGTTTTTTGTCTTCCAACCAATCTGGGTTTTATTGCATAATATTATTTAAGTTCCTGGATATTTAGATACTCAATGCACGTGACTCTTCATAGACACGGAAAGATGTCTGCCCACTTTGTATTCAGAAGATTAAACGCATGACAAATCCACCAACAAAATTACACATACACACTGTTAGAGAATTATGTTGTCATTTCCTTCCTGGAATTATCTATAAACCAGCTTTGCCCAAATTTCTGCCACTCATACGTTCAGAATCTTTCCAACATCAATATATAACTTGAACTATTTATCACTTAATCCTTTAAAAATGCCTTATGTTCTTTATGTAAATAAACATTTTCAAAGGAAACTGCATATCATTACATAACGAGAAAAGCAGTCTCATTTGCCATAAATGGAAGAAAACTTAAAAAAAATAATTACAACTGAAAGTAAACAATGATATTAACTTCCTGGTGGATGCTGTTGTCTGCCGGAGCTCAGGACCCAAAGCCAGCTCCTTCTTTGTTAAAGAGGTGGTCAGCGGAGGTGAGAGAGGTTAGGGAATATGAAACTCTGTGATCGAATCACAGGGAAGAAAGGGGATTTTTCTCACTGCCCAACTCCTACTCCGTTCCTATTCCAATGACACCACCTAGAAGCACGTCTCGCCACCTGTGACATGGGTACTGTGGTCTCGGAGGCTCAGTTCGTATTTCAGTTTCCCTGCCCCGGAGGCAAGGGCTTACCATTTGTCTGAGAAACGCCATCAGGGAGGGTCTCTGCGCTTTGCGTTCTTCTCTCTTGGGCGTCACTTCCGCGGGTTCAGGTGCGCTATCTCCCTCCTCGCTGAGATCCACTGTGTGTAAGGTTGAGTCTACCTCCTCGGACTTTACCTCTACTGCTGATTCACACACCACCTGGATTATTTTGCCAGGTAACAAGACAGTGAAAAGAAAAAAAAAACACCCCCAAAACATGCTTTATAAAGTCGGGTCCTGGTTGCCCCCTTGTTCACACAGCAGCTACAGGCTGGAGTCTTACGGCCATTTCTCCGCGGGCACATCTTTGAAGAGAAACACTCACATCATATCACGTGCTCTCTGAATACGCTGACGTGGACGTGGCAGCGTGCCTGCCCGACGAAGGTACAAGGCTTAGACCTTAGATCAGGGCGGCCTTTCAGAGCATCCTCAGCACCACTTCCAATCTAAGGGACCCACCTGTTTGGTCTGCCATTCAGGTGAACACACCTGGCCTGTGTAAAAACCGGGAGCAATCACTTCCTTGAGGGTCCAGCCTTAGAGATGGGGGCCGTGACGCCGTCCAGTCCTCACCCTGGCTCCCCTGGGGATGCTGGAGAAACTGTGCTCTTTGCAGAAAGGATAATGTGAAAGCAATGGGCTTGACTTCCTTGTGAACTCATGTCCCACCTCTCCCCAGCCCAGTCACTTGCTCTTGTTCCTTAACTGAAGTTCCTGCTTTCAGAAACAAGATAAACTTGGCAAGAAAACTACTGCTAAGTTCCTAAAGGCCCCCAGCGAGCTCCTGAGTGAGCTCAGTGCCCTAACTGTCCGAAGGGATGGCCAGCACTGGTGGGGGGTGGTTAGACGGGAGGTCCGCTTCACCTGCGCTCTGATTCCAAATTTTGTTCGTTTGCGTCACCTCCCTCCCCGTGTGCTGTGCCCAGTCATGTCTGAGACAGCTTTTGTATCTGCGTTGGTCCCTGAAACACGACAGAGTTAACTGGCTTGGAGAGAGTTTCATAATTTCCTTTTTGTTTCCTCAGGCAAGGTTGGCAAACTACTACCAAATTCATCCCAGAGCCTGTTTCAGGATGGCCCCTGAGCTAAGAATAGATTCTACATTTTTACAGGGTTGTAAAATCATTTTAAAAGATGAAAAATAGGCAACAGAGACTATATGTAGCCGGCAAAGTCTAAAACATTCACTACCCGGCCCTTCACACGATCGTTTGCCGTCCCTGCCTCAGAGGGAAGTGCTCTAGAGCCAAAGGCATCTTGGCGTTTGTTTTGGCCGATGCCAGACCCACAGCTTCCTTGGAATCTCATTCTGTGGGGGAAGGGAACGTAGTCATTTCCAAAAACACAGAGTGACTGTAGAGAAATCATTTCCCTTTCCTTCATGCAGAACATACTATTGGTTTGCACATAATCCAGTTGATCTGAATTGAGAAGGACCCTTCATCTTGACACCGTCAGCTCAAGCAGCTCAAGTGTGGCCATCAACACATCAGCAGACAGGAACATCCCGAAACACGGCAATTAAATCATAGCATCCTCTCCCCACCTTCCATTTCTTAAGATACTGACACGACTTCTGGCATTTCCCCTTTGTCATCAAAGGTCTAGGTTGGGGAGTTATAAATTCAAAAGTACCCAGGATACAAAGCAAAGGGAGTGATACCAGCGTGGTCTGACCAGGTGTAACACAAGGCGGAGTGGTGGGGACTATGGCAAACAAAAGTCAAATTGCCCCCATCTCAAGACGTTGAAAGAACAAAGGCACTGGACTGGCCAAACAAAACATGCTTGTGAGGAGGCTCCTGCTGCCCGGCTGCCCATCTCTGACCCAGGCGTGCCTTTAGGAAACCAGGCAGAGACTGGCGCCAAATAAGAAACTGGACTGGTGGTCAAACGTGATCATGGACTTCCCCATCTAGGCCTGATTTAATGCAGCTGCATTTCTGAAAAATAAGCTTCAGCCACGAGAGTCCTGGAGGGAGTCTGAAACGCAGGCAGCCTGGCACAGGGGTTGCGAGTTCACTTGCTAGTGCCAGCCTGCCTGGGCCTAAATCTTGACTCTGCCCCTGAAAGGGGCTCTAAGCCAACGTCTCTACTCAATAGCTCTGTGCCCTCGTTTCCTCATTTTTCAAAGGGGAGAGTACACACATCAGAAAGTTGTTCTGAGAATTAAATCAAGCAATGCGTGTACAGTTCCTAGAACAGTGCCTGACACTTAACAGGCACTCAGTTAACACCAGTGGTTCTTAACGCTAATTGAGAGCCATTTACGCCATGGCTGTGAATTATCTGGAATCACCCACCATGCACATGTCCACTACTTGGAGATGATATTAATAAATATCTCTTACTATGTCAGACGCTGTGCAAGGCATTTTTAATAATTACTTCAGCAAATAGTTACTACTTACTCAAGACAGTTCAGAGTAAATAACATTATCCCTATCCGACAGATGAATAATCTGAGTGATTGAATGACTTGAGCAAAGTCACACCACAGGTAAGAGTCATTTCAATGAGAGTGGAGTTGTTTACCAGTAACTGAATATCTAATCGTGACTTAACCAGTAACAATAAAGAATAACAAGTTCGAAAGTAGGAAGTTGTGGGCTTGGCTCAGTGGCTCCACAATGTTTCCAAGAAGCTGGGCTCTTTCTATCCTTTGGCTCTGCCATCCTTGTCAGGCTGGATTTTCATCCTTTTATTTTCTATCTTATGGATCTAGAGTAGCTGCCACAGCTCCAGGCATCACATCTTTAACGCAATGTCCTAAGAAGGAAGGAAGGTCATAGCAAAGTACCTGCTCCAACTGAACTGTATTTTGATCCTCTACCTCAGGGTACATTTCATTGGCCAAACGTAGGTCACATCCTTACCCCTAGACTAATTATTGGTGGAAAAAAAAGGGATTATTCGTTTAGACAAATCACAGTCAAATACTTCAGGGCTGTGGTAGTTGCCAACCTTACATAAGATCGGGGGAAAAGGGTGGAGGAATGGGAAATGGCCTTTAGGTAGGTAATGAACAGAGTCTGACTCACTGACTCTGTGTTCAGAATTATTCTGTCTTTGAAGCAGCAAGTTCTTTTTTTTGTGTGCAAGGTCCTGAAGGGACAATTACTCATATGATAAAATGACTGTATGGTAATAACTCCGTAAATCAACTTTATTTGAGTGCCAATGGTTTTCTTGCTGGGCCTTTTCAAACATCAGGAGGTGTCAACTTCTAAATTCTAGCCCAGAGTTCATTCTTCAAAACACAACTATTTTTGTAGGCCAAAAAAAAAAAAAAAACGGGGGGAGGGAACTTCCAGAGACTCTCATTAGCTTTGAAGTCAGGCCAAGAAGTTGGCTTTCAGCAGCCAAGGAAAAAATCTACCGACATCCAGTGTGGAAATCTAGAAAGATTTGAGCTAAGTGAGGATCTGATTTGCATATACAGACATGAGAATTTGATTTTTATTTGGATAGTTTTCTGATTTCCTTCCAGGCCAGAGCTTTGGAAAAAGTTGTTCCTTATTCAGAATATGTGACTGCATCTGCACATTTTAATTTTGGGTATGAAGGGCATAATGAAAATCCAATTTCAGTGCTGTATTTTGGAACTAAATCTCCTTTGCTTGATGTCAATAGGAGATATTGTATGTTGCATAAAGATGGCTAGGATGATTAACACAGACAATACACATTTCAGCAAAAGGTGTCACTTTTTTGCCTCTAATATGATACCATACTTATTCTTGAAATTTGGTTTATACAGTTCTTACTAGAGCTGTGTTTTTCAAACAGATTTATAGCAAAATAGATTTCCTCCACTACAACGACACCCATGACATGATCATATTGATATTAAAATTTTTTATTTTAGAATCTTTTTAAGATTCTTTTTGACTTGATTTATAACATGATTATTTGATTGCAAAGACAGTGTAGAGATTTTATATTCCTACCCAATGACTCATCCACATTCTTCCTCATTCATAGCCCCCTAGTATTGCTTTGGGGGAAAAATCTTCCCTAACTTTAAGACTACGTGATTTGGATGAAGTTGGTTGAGCAGGTGTAAGCCAATCACCATGGTCTGGCTGTTTGGCCAAATGAGTTCAGGGATGGGAGTATGTGGCAGAAAGTACTATTTTCCCAATTATTCACTCTGTGTGTCTTCCTCTGGAGAATGGAGCATGAGTGGATGTGATGTAACCCTCGACTGAGTGGCTGTTTTTGAAGCCATTTCCTGGCCCACCCACGGCACTGTTTTCTCTGTGTCACTCCAGCTGCACATCCTTGTTGAAGGGGCTGCTTTTTCCATCTAGATCTCAGCAAGAAGAGGCCATGAGGATTGCCCACAAGCCAACTTACAGCTCATATGCAGCATGAGTCGGGGGGACAAAGAATGTTTGCTGTTGGAAATCACTGGAATGTGGGGCTTGGTTGTTACTGCAGCGCAACCTGGTCAATGCTGACTAATGGAGCATGTGAAAACACTGAAGTCAATGAAAAAGAACAAATTCCAGGACACACAGGGTTGCTGCTGGACCAGTCTTGCCTTTACTCGGCCCTGGGTGATGTGAAGTTGGGAAGCTGAGAGTGTAGCCAGGCCAGGAAGGCTGAGCCCTGAATCCAGATTCATCTGAAACCAATTCTACTTCCCATTGATGAGCACCAAGAAATTCCATTTTTCAAAAAATCCAGGTTGAGTTGGGTTTTCTTTCACCTGCAACTGAGAAGTTTCTCACTAAGAGAGAGAAACAGCAGAGACACCTGTTTTCTTTGATCTTATCGGTGGCACGGAAGGAAAGCTATTTCCCCCCATTAGTTAGAACATTAATTAAATTAACCAGTGGACCAAACGTTTTCAGATTACAACAAAAGGACTCAATATTTCCTGCCGTCAGGATAGAGAGATTTTTATTTCTGGTAGGACCAGAAGCTCACTCTAGGAAACGCGCTAAACTTCCATGGGCTTCCCTTATTTTTCTTTTCCTGAAAATTTTTGAAAAACGTTGAAATCCCTCTATCCTTTGCTCTGCACTGGCTGACAGACTGGTTTTAGAGACTTGTGGTAGGGAAATTTAACATCACACTTTAGCCAGAAGCAGTTGCACGTGAAAGGACTCTTGTAATACGATTAATGACTCCGAATGGTCCTGTCCTGAAGGTCTAGAGTACTGCCCATTGTTTTGACAAATGCCATCTCTCTTATCTGGGAAAAAGAAAATTAAACTAATTGTTTTCCCCACACCTTCACTCCACGTGGACGCTGAGTGAGGTGTGTAACTTCCTGAGGAGATACAGTCACCGATCACAGAGAGGCACACACCTCCTGTCACAACTCCTGTGCACGGACATCACCGCAGGGGCGGCAAACCTCTCCTGCAAAGGGCCCTGCAGCTACTCAGCTCTGCCCCTGTAGCCGCAGAGCAGCCACCGACCACGTGCAAAGGAAGGGGAGTGTCTGTGTTATGATAAAACTGTATTCATAAACACTGAAATTTGAATTTTGCATAATTTTCACATATCACAAAATTTCTTCTTTTGATTTTTTTTCCTAACGATTCAAAATAAAAGAACCATTCTTAGCTCATGGGCCATGCAAACACGGGTGATGGTCTGGATTTGGCCCGTGAGCCATAGTTTACCAACCCCTGCATAACTGAATTCTTCCTGCGTTCCAGGCGCTGAAGTACACACGTTACGGGCATCATTTAAGGAATTCTCACAAGGATCCTAAGGGGTAGGTAATATTATTATGGCCATTTAAGAGATGAGTAAACTGAGGTCCAAGAGGGAGCACAGCCTGGGGGTCATGGGGCCAAGATCACAGCTTTTGAGCCTCATTCTTTCCAACTCATAGTCAGTTAGGAGCCGAAACGTTGAAACTTAAAAATAGAAATGTTATTTGGAGGGCTAGGCAATGTAAAGCAGTTTCTTAAATGCTTCTGTATTTTCTTGACAAAATATTTTGCTTTCACTTGCATCTCATCCAATTTTGTGTTATCTTTTGGTAGCAATCAGTTAACTCTGATTGATGTTATATTTCTGTTTCAAATTTTATACTAGAAAATGACATGCTTTCTGTTTGCCTGCTAGAGATCACCTCTGCATTTTTGCACACGAGCTGCAAGAGACATGGGGTCCCTCAGAGAGACAATGACACAAAAACTTCTGAAAAGAAGTTGTTCTTCAAAAAACTCAGAACCTCAAAACTGACAGATGCTTCGGATTTAACCTGCGGCTCTGACATTTAAAATTCCCGGGAAAAAGACTCATGGAGTCCCTCCTTGGTGGGTTGCTGAAATAGAGACTTAGACTCTCTAGAAAATAGCCAGTAAGTTTATGAGAATTTTCTGGAATTACAAGAGACCAGAGCTTTGTGAGCTATTAAGTTTGGCTCAAAAAAGAGAGAGAGAAGAAAAAAAGAAAGAGAGAGAGAAAGAGAGAGAAGGAAGGAAAGGAAGAAAGGAGAGAGGGAGAAAGGGAAGAAGGGAGGGAAGGAAGGAAAGAAGAAGGTAGGAAGAGAGGAAGGAGGGAGGGAGGAAGGGAGAGAAGGAAAGAGAAACAACAGTAACAACAAAACAGATTTCAAAGCTCCTTCTCCCGCCGAGAATGACCACACAGCCATTCTAATTTTTATGCCACATCACGGACGACGTTTCTGGAACATATTTGGGTTTTCCATTTCTGCTCAGTTCCAGCAATTAAATACAAGCGGAAACACAAGCGCTATCCATGGCAAGCGAACAATAGGCACCTAGGAAGAGCCAACATATTTTGCTTTGGCAAAATGGTAACCATCAGTTTCTATCTTAAGGAGCCGTGGACTTCCTCATCCCGCTTATAACATTTTCCAAAGACAGCGCTTCGTTCAGAGCAGGAAGCGGCTGTTGTGGGTCTGAAACTCACAAGGCCAATTGATTCATCTCCCCAGAAGATGCTCTGGAATGACACATTTTGGTAGTCTCATAGGGAACCATCTCCTTCAGACGTGAGCGCGTGTCTTGAAAGTTTTGACCATCACTCTTGGGAATTAAAGGCCAAAAAGAGAGGTTCAAGCTAGGTCTGTCAGCTGTCGACCCACACAGTCGGCTCTCTGGCTCGAGACCAGCAGTCTCCCAGCATCTACTGCAGCAACATGCTCCCATGCCTGATGCAACCACCTGTCCTGGGTACCACCCACAGTTAGTAGAGAATCTGGGTTGCCGTGGAAATAAAGGCGAAAGAGCGATCAAAGTGGAATAAAGCAGAGGGAGCAGCATGATTGTCCCTTAAGGAAGTGAAGATGTTTTTACGTTTAGTAGACTCTTTCAGCCCCTAAATGGTAACAAATGTTAAAAATTTGCATGCTCTGATTTTGCGTTTAGTTTGCGTCGACTCAATGAGCCTTACAAATATTCATCCAAAGTTATCCCGCGATGGTCCCTAATCACGTGAAAGGGTGAAAGAGTCTGTAGGGGATGAATCACACTTGGAGCATGCAGGAACCCAGGACCCCAGAGCTGACACGCCCCGGGCCCAGCATGCCAGAGATGAGGATGGAGTGATTCTGTCATTTAGTGCATAACTTACATTCTCCTCTGCACCTGTGGGGACTGAATCCTCTTTAACTGACTAAAGGGAAGATAAAAAAAAAAAGTAAGAGTCAGGATGTTACCAAAACCAGGGCTAACAGCTTTCTGGTGCAATTCTTGGATATTGCTTTTGTATACTTTGTTCCAAGAAGAACTTGAAGGAGGTTTACACAAATATAAGAGTGTAGCAAGATAATACAAATTATGTATTTTTAAAAGCAACAAAGGAAAAATAAACATACAGATGCAGCCAGGAGACCAGTGGAGTGAGGAGAGCGGCTGCTACAGAAAACACAAACCACAGTCTTGGCTGTGGGCGAGGAACACGTTGTGTGGTAGCTGATGAAGAGAGGAAAGGATGTCAGTCACGCGATATAGTCACTGTTAGGTGAGCTGCTCAGGAAAATTCTGGTAATAAATTCAGGGAAACTCATCCCCTGGTCCTCACAGAGCAAGCAGGCACGGATGGAAGAATCAGGGACCCCAGCCTTATCCTGACAGGAGGAAGGTGCCCAGCATCCTAAGCTGCTTCTCACATCAGCCTTCAGTGTGGGCCAGCGTCATCACGCCCAAGTGCAATTTGGTTAAAATACTTCCACGGAGGGCCAGAGGGCTGGGCTCCAGCACATCCAGCTTCAAACACTGTTGTTTCCTGAAGTCATTCTGGCATCTACCATCCGGCCCTCAAAGAGAAGAGGAGTTACCCAAATTCTCTCAAAAGCCAAGGTCACAATCATGATACCAGTTAGCCAAGCTCCAACTTGGGAGGTCACTTTGCGTATTTCCTGCAGTTGTTCTGAAACTTTTCGGGGTGGGTGGCGTTTACAGGCCACTTTGAGACTCCCCTGACAGAGCTGGACTGTCTTCCCAGAAAAGTAAACGTAAGATATTTTGCAAATAATTCCAGGGTGTTCATAGACCCTTGCATTTCTTCTCTTGGATTCCAGGATAAGGACTCATCTCCATCAGCTTTGCTCCACATCCTGCCTTGATTTTTACCTTTAAAACTTGCAGTGAGGTGGGGAGGAGGGAACTCACAGTTACAAATGTATCTTCTCCATTTGGCACTCTTGTTTCCTTCAGTGTCTGGCACGTGGAAGAGACAATCTGCTGAGAATCCAAGTCCAGAGCACCCTGGACTGGGCGGTCAGGTTCAAAGTCACTGTTTTAGCTGTGCAATCTTGGGCAAGTCAATTGTACCTCTCTGTGCCTCAGTTCACTGACTCAAAAGTGGGCTATTCGACTGTCTACCAAACATAGGGTTGTTCTACAGAATAAAGACAATAAAGCATGTGATGGGAAAGTCATGGCTGAAGCGGAGCTGAGACGCACCTCCGTCTGGTGGCTGGGGTCGGGCCACAGAGCTCCTCCTGGTATGTACAGGAAGACCTCCATTTCCAGGGGAGTTAGAGACTCTGGAAGGTGTGTGTATGCTGGGGAGAAACAACTTGAACCATGTTTGTAAAGAGGGTTTAGTTGTATGTAGTCTTTTCTAGAAGTCAAGGTATATGGATGGAGCAGAAATAAAGATTTTAAGAAATGGACAACAGAAAGAATTCACTGATGGAAGGAGGACTCCAGGTGGACCGGATACCTGCAGGGTCAGTTCTGGGTAGGATGCTGTGAGAGCAACTCAGGCCCGATCAGCTCCCCTGGAGTTGGCAGACAGGGGCCATGTGGATGCTGAGAGGGGGTCTGGTTAAGTGGTGTCCCTCTGTGCCCCACGCAGCTGCCCCCGGAGCTGGGCATAACACAGGCTGCCTTCTCCTCCCTGCTTTGTAAGTGGCAGGTGGGCTCTGGCGGGCTTGTGAGGACATCAGTGATGTGTCAGGCCAGGTGGCAGGGATCTTCTCCTTGGTGGCTCTGGTGGCAGTGGTGTGGTCTGGCAGTGATCACCCACAGGGACACGTGGGGGCCTGGACTAATTTGTGACCACTTTTCTTAGCTTCCTAGAACTTTGAGTGGGATGAACATTGGTGTGGATTTTTGTTCATCAGTCTATGAAAACCGCTGATGTTAGTTTTGTACATGTAAAGCACTCAGCACAGGGGGGCCCGCACAGAGCACGTGTTCAATTAACGGTAGCAGTTTCTGTGAATGCCGGGGAGCAGCGCCTCAAGTTACGCCTATGAGGCCTGTTTATGACTTTTCTTGACTCGTTCCACGTTGCTCTCGTAATTTCCTTACATCTGGCCCAGACAGAGTTTGCCCCTGGATCCGTTAAGAGCAGCCTTTTTAACACTGCTCTTCGGTTATGTTCGGTTCCGGAAGCGGAATGGGCACAGGAGGACGCGGATCTCAGTTCCATCCTGATGAGCCGCTCCCTAGAGGACAGCGGCACACTGACCTCTGTAAAACAATAATTCTGGGGCATCCTAGCTTCAGTCCATTGTGCCAGCGTTTTGAGATCTTGATCGTTTATATTGGGGATCACGTTAATGAGCGAACCCAGCTTGCAACCTTGATAAGGCTGCCTCACAGGTCACTGACCAAACAGACTCTGAATGAGCAGGCCCGAGGCCAGATTCCAGAGAGCTGCGCAAAGACGGCTCCTTGCACGTGGCTTTGACCCTTTACTATTCTTTGTTGGCCTGCATCTCCCCATCCCGTGAATGTGCACTCGATGCACTTCCGCAGAACTGAAAAAAAGCAGCAGGACTAACAAAGGTGATAATGGAAACCACCCGGACTCCAGGGCTGTATGCTAAGCAGTGGGTTAGTTTTTAACAATAGTGCTCCATGTCTTCAGAACGGAAGTAGATCTCCCCTCATTTCTAGGCCTCTGCTCCAACATCTATTAACTTCTTTTTTTTTTAATGGAGGTACCAGGGATGGAAGCCAGGACTTGTGCATGCTAAGCATGCGCTCTAGCACTGAGCTAGACCCACTCCCGCTAAACATTTGCTCTTACTCTAAAACCACAGATTTCGAAGACTGAAGTGTGTCTCTATTCTCCCTCCAATCTGACTGCGTCCTGCATCACACAGCACAGCATCCTGCGTCTCACATTCAATGTGTATTTGTAACCGGCGTGGCTTCCATAGTCAACACACAATGACAGACGAAGTGGCCTCGGACAATTGCTTCCTTTTCTCCTCATCCTTTCCGCACAGCAGAACGCCTACGAGCTGAGGAACCAGCCATCCCAGATTCCAACTCCTCACTGCCCCCGCCGAGGGGTACGTGGTGATGGCTAACCTCTGGAGAGGAGAGAGGGCTGCCTCTGCCATGTCGGGAATGGGGTCCTGAAGGGAATTTCAGAGACAGGAAGGAAAATCGGACGGTGCTGCTGACGGAGCAGCTCACTTCAAAGTGAATGAGAGAGAATGATTCTCAAGTGCAAGGTCGACGCCTGCCGACCCAAAGGCATTTCTGAGGTTCTCAGGCCCTGCAGTCAGAGGAACGTGACACGGTGCAGCGGCCGGTCAGGAGAAACACAGAGCGTGTTTCAAATTCATTCAAATCTCAAACCCGGAAACACTTCGATCTGTCTCGGTGAACTGGACGTCTGGCTGTTATCTGGTGAGTCTAAAAACTGTCCGGTCTCATTAAGAACAACAGCAACACAGATCCAGTTTGAAGCCTAAAGGATCTTGTTTGGACACTTACATGCTGAGAATAAAGCTGTGCAGTTATCATATAAACTTCACTGCCAGGAGCGCCTCTCCAGTCAATTCTTAAAGGAATGCTGCTTTAAAATGCTGTCACCTGGGAGCACTTAAGCCAGCAGGCACCCTGCTGCTAGCAGGTCTCTGGAAGCACCATTTTGATCATGTGACCGCTGTTCCGCGTTCACTGATTTCACGGTGGACCTAAGACCTTTTCTATCAAGCCCAGATATTTCAGCCCATCCTTCAGGTGCCTCCATAATCGTCCAGCCATTACGCCAGACTTTCTTAACCGAGATCCCTGTGGACTCAGGGATCAAACACAGGATTCGGGTTTTGAAACAAATAACCCAGATGAGTCAGAGGAATTTTTCATTTATTTTCCTACTCAGTTCTCCCTGGCTTCAGGGCTCGCATTATTTTTCTGCTTCATCATTTGTCTCCCCCGAAGGAAAGCAGGAAAAGCACCATTTTAAAGATGCTCCAAATGGATCATTTACTAATTGTGTGCACGCACACACATGTACACGTGCACATGTGCATGCATTCGTATGTATCTTGTTCCTCCAAATGGATTTCAGTCTTTTGATGCAGCAAATAAGTCGTATACTTGTTTTGTACTGTGGGTGCTGTTGACACCAGAAGCCACACATGGATATTTAGATCATAACCAGCCATGTCATACTTGAAGAAATGATGGTAACATCATTCATTGAGCACTTACTATGTCTCAGACGCTTTCTATGTAAATTATTGGATTCTCATAACAACACTGTGAGATAAACATGGTCCCTACTTTACAGATAAGAAGATAAAGGCTCTGAGTGGTCAAATAATGTGTCAGAAGTTACAGAGCCCCATCTTTCTGATTCTGGCTATTTATGCAAACTTGCCATACACAACAGTTTTTTTCAGATCATCTATTCTAATCGTTTCATTCAACAAATGAGGAGAAAGAAACCCACAGTAAGTTACTGTTGTAAGGTCACACGGCAAACGGTATCTCAATTAACCCAGAAAAATAAACGGCATAGTTTGCCCAAGTAACTGGATTTAAACTCTTTTTTGTCACGCACAACAGAATTCGAAATTAATTTTCTCAAAAGTTCTTTGTTATTTTTTGTTTACAATAAAACCACTTCAGCCATCAAGACAAAGTCAAAATACCGTATAATTCCATATTGACAGCCTGTTACAGGAAACGTTAATTTCTGATGTTCATCATTGCAGACTTACAAACGTCAAAATTTGCTTGTTGAAAAGCTTCTCAATTAAAAGAGAAGAAAGAGAGCTTAGGGTCAGTTAGTGGAAATGTCAGAATTTTCAAGGGTTTCTCTTTGTTTCTCAGAATTTTTATAAGGATGGTGTTACAAGCAAAGCTTATTCTAATTTAAAGAAAAGAACACAAAGACTGTCATTTTGTCTCCTACTGGGAGTAAGTGCCTCCAGGAGAATGTATGTTACAAGAAGGCAGCAGTCCTTTTGCTGACGTTTCCTCAAAGCCTAGTGCTTGGGGGACACACGCACCCCTTCGTACGAAGAAAGCGACTTACAGTATTGCTAAATGAGTGACTCTCCCCTATGTCACTTCTTTACAGAGCTTTTTTTCCTGATTGGATGAAAGAAGGAAAGACAAGCTTTATAGGTGATGTGGTTTTTAGTTTCTCTTAACTTCATTATTTTTATAATCATCGAAAGAAATAAAGGCAGAAAATGGTGAAAAAAACAAAACAAAACAAAACAAAACTGAGAGACCGGAATAAACGAACTTCGGTCATCAGGGAGAGGAATGCATGTGGTCCTGACTTTCCTTTTCAATGGGAATAGCTGGAATTTCAAAGAAACCAACATCTCCTTTATCGACCGTGAGATAAGATAAAATATTTGAGGTTTAGAAGCTTAAAAGCTTCCCCCAAGTGGATGGCACAGAAAGATGAAGTGGACGGGTTAATGCCTCAACCCTCCTGGGCGCACAGCAAATAAACGACGTTGGAGGAGAGATTGCCCACGGGCTGCTGTTGTGGGAGCCCCAGTGTCCGGGGCTTCCCGGCATGACTTAATTTAACCCTCACTTCATTTCCATGACATAGGTACGATTATTATTTGCATCTCACAGATGAGGAAACTGAGGCTCATCCAGGTGGACTGGGACTCAACGTGGGACCTGTCTGACTCCAGACTCTTTCCCCTTATATCAGTGTTCCTCAAACTTCCGTTGTTTGTGGACCTCCTGTATCATTTTTGGTGCACTGTACGCACTACTGGCATCCATTACTGTGTTGACGCTGAGACCAAGCTGCTCCCAGGAAATGACTGAGCACAGAGGGTGCTAGACGGTTCTTTGTGCCCCATGCAGGACCCTCGCAGTGGGCAAGCCGTGCTCTGCGATTCCCCACCGGCTCAGCATCGCCCTCAGTCTGAGGTTTTTCAGACCCTCTCTTCTTTCCTTCTCTCCCTTCACAGGTGTCAGGCCCTCAGTGTGGTCTGCAGCCTCCCTGCTCCTGCCCCCCCCTTTACCCTCCACAGTCGGCTTCCTCCAATAAATCTCCTGCACATCACTTTTGTCTTAGCATCTGCCTTCTGAGAACACCAACTGACCATTATTTACTTACTGTCAGTACCATTAATTACATAACACTTTCCTTTTAACTGAATTACTTTTTAAACTAAAGACATGCGGTCTCTCTCACCTTGAGCAAAATACATATATTAAATCTTGAGTTTATTGTGCCAGTTCTATCTTTCCCAATACACTTACATCTGTATATGATTATTTAAGTAAAAATATTTGAATGTGAGTCACTTAAGTCATCTCCTTTGTCACCAATACATGCGTGTAACTTACTTAGAAACTGTTCCCTTCATTACATTGCCAGTAAAATATTTTTTTTTAAAAAAACAAAAGGGTGGGGAAGGAGGATTAGAACAGAATGCCAAATGACATCATCCAAAGTTTTCATAAAGTTTTGGAGTTTGTGTTCTGGGCAGGACCTAGAAGGAAGATTTCTGGACAATACAAAACAAACAGGAAAAAGTTTTAGCAATCCAGCTGGATTCTGGACATGAGAATAAACTAATACCACGGTGGCATGGATTTATCACCTTCCTCGCATTGTGTGCCAAGTGGCACGGATGCTTTGTTGAAATGGCTAAATTAGATTTTTTCCTTTCTATGGATTACACCCCTGCCACCCCCAACTCCATCCTTGACTTCTCGCTCATCTTTTGGCCACATTTAAAACGGCTCTGAACGTGTGTGGCAGCTGGAGTTTGTTCAGCAAGGATGATCAAGGAATTAGCTCTCAGAATTACTCAGCCCCGCACACCCCATTTCCTTGCTTGGCAACTTAATTCTACAGGAGGAAAAAAAATCAGGCAGTGGTTTGAACTTTCCTATCACAGAGCACACTGTGTGCTTGCCCTGATGGTGACCTGGCTGACACCTTGGTTTTCCAAAAGGAGAGTGAGACCTAGTGATTATCTCTGGTCAGGGGAGGAGAGAGAGAGAGAACCCAGAGTTGTTTCATCTCGCCAGGAGGAGAGAGCTCAGAAAAAACCAGGAGGAAACCAGAGTAATCCACCATTTTAGAAAGAAAACGAAATCACAAAATAACACGACCCCTCTGTCACGAACCAGAGTAATTCCAAGAACGAAACATTTACTTGTTCCATTTCCTTTTCTTTCCCACGAAACACACGTTTATCACAAGACAGGCATTTCATTTTTTTCCCAGGAGTAAGTTAAAAGTCTTCAACTCAGCGGCAAGCTGAGTCATTCTGGAGGAGAAGAAGCTCCACGCGCTGCTGAGTACACTGGTTGGTCCAACAGAAACCATTTCTCAAGTCATCCTAACCCCAAGGACTCTCCAGATCTTGAAGACAGGACTTACCTTTTTCCAGAACAGTTTTCCCAGAGGCAGAGAGGTGGGCCCGCCCTTCTCCTTGGCTCCTTCCTTTGCTGCTTCAGTGGACGTAGAATTCTTGGCTGCCCCTTGGGGCTCCTGGGGCGTAACATGGCCTTTGTCTGGCTTGATGTCGGCTGGAGTGGTGGGTGACTTTTCGGCACCCTAGAGAGTTTAAAATTTTTTTCAATGATCTCAGGTTGTCAAAAGCAAAAGGTCTCTTTTTTATACACATGGGCTGGGGTCATGCCTGTTAACTGTCTTCCTCACAATTGTCTGTCTTTTCCAAATATTCTACATGGATGTGGATTTGTGTTAAAATCTTGGAAAAAGTCAAGTTATTTTCCTTTGACAAGAAACACATAATTAGAACCATGACGTATTATGTTTATGGAAGTAACACGTTAGGAATCAAGGTGATTGTAAGAGGCACTTGCTGTTAGAAGGTTAGTTGGTGATGAGCCCATCGGTTGGCAAATGGTTTTGATCATGTTCACGGCAGAAAAAACATTCTGAGCACACACTTCCCATACTTGCATATTTATTCATATGATAAAGATGCATTGTTTTACTCATCCAAATTTGAAATTAAAGACAGGTGACAATAAATATACTTTAAAAGAGAGGTGTCTAAGATTTCCTCCCAAGCTCCACTTCAGAGATCCCTGACCCAATCTGCAGCGTCTGTGTAAGGAACTCACTGAAGAGGTCTGAGTTTGAAGAGCACCCGCATGCCCCGTTTCTGCACTTTTAGATGCAACGCCCACATCTAAAGTAGATGCGACTGAGTGGATTGTAATGGACAGAAAACTACAAATGCTCTTCATTCTGTCCTTTCTCTCTCTTTCTCTCTCCCACCTTCTCTCTCCTGGCCCCAATCTTCCCTTCCCCTCTGGGCGGCCATGCTGGGACATGGGACCTTCTCAGGGGTTGGGCTGTCTCTCCCCATGCTCTGCCAGCTCCCAAGTCATGGGACAAAGGAAGAGTTCAGAGAATTGCAGCCTCTATTTATCTCGACAGGAGGGAACACTGCATTAAAAATTTTAACACTGGGCTCATCTGACCTCACCCCTCATCTTCAGCATCTTCGTTTGAATGATTCTTGCTCCAGGGACTTGGGACAAAAACCCTTCAATTCCCGGGGGTGTCAGATCTTTGACTACATTTTCTGATTAAAAGGGAAAAAAAGATCTGGCAGCACAAACAGGGTGTGGAAAAACAGTACTTTTGACCTTGGAAAGAGTCTGAGCGACCACCTAGTCCAGTGCCACGTTTTCACAGATGGGGAGACGGAGGCCCACGACCTGACCTGCCCGACACGGATATGGGGCACAGCCTGGCCTCGGATCTGACCTCTGGCTCCTCCCTGGCGCTCTTTCCACACAGCACAACGCCTCTCCAAAGGGTGTCCACAAATGACGTGAATTTTGCTGTCTGATGCAAGACGCAGTATCTTCCACGCTGACTTTTTTGATACCAAGAGGGAGTCATTAATTGAGCAGATTCTATGTTCGAATCTGGAGACAAAGGGCCGATGCCTAGAAATTACTTTTGTGACAGGTGATCCTGGAATACTCCCAGTTACATTTAAAAATGGATAAAATCCCATAATGCTGGGGTTTAAAATAAACTCTACCTTGCAGCAACAGTGAAATCAAAATGGCTGAGCTCATACGGTCCTGCATTTATGCATGTCCCAAATGCTCTCGGACACCTGGTGCTGTCTAAGCTCTGAACGGCAATTACACGAGCGAGGGCTGGTGGCAAGGAAGCGCCCTCCACCAACTAGCTTGCTCACTTTTTCAGAAAATATGAGGAACGTATTATTATTTATTTACATACTCATAAAAAATGCATGGAGTGTCTTCTAAGACCTGGGATGTGTACTATAGGTGCTGGGGTTACGTGTCCTCATGGAGAGCAAGACGCTAAACAAATAATTCCACAAATGAATGTAAGATTTCAACTATGATAAGTGCCATGGCGGGGAGGGGAGGGGAGGATCCAGTGCTTTAAAAAACAAACAAACAAAAAAGGCTGAACCAGAGAATCAGATCCGTCATGACAATTAGGGAAGGCTTGACCGAGAAAGGGGGTGCCTGTGCCAATGATCTAAAGGGCGAGCAGAGATGAAATGGAGACGGAACGAAGCACACCCCATGCACAGGGAACAGGATGCTCTCAGAGCCCTCGGCGAGCATCAGAGGGACGTGACGGAAGTAGAAACGGCAGGAGTAGCCCGACCTGGTCCCCAGCGTCAGCTCCCCTGCTGCTTTCTGGGAGAATCCCCGGGTGCGAGACCAACGACCTGGGGGTGGGGCTGAGCTCACTTCCACCTCTCAGAAAGGGTCCTTGTTGGCTTCAGTAAATCATGGATCCGGCTAACGTCACTGCAGTAGGCGCTCCATCGCTTCCTGACCCCACGCTGCTCTGATTTAAATTCTGTTGCTTTGCTTTCTGTACTTTAGATGCTGTGTTATCTGTCCGGCTCATGGCTGCCGCTTCCTAGGTGCTCAGTTTACTCAGCCAGAGCCACAGGGAGTTACAAAAAAACGAAGGCTGGTTCTGGAGTTCTAGAACCCTTCCAGAACAGGTCCAGTTTACTCACTTCCTCTCTCTCTCAGCCCCCTGAAGCTGGGACCATGGTCCCAGGGGACTAGGCACAGAGATTTCCAACTTTTAACTGTGACTGAATAATAACAATAAAAGAGACCCGTGCCAGGCAATGTTCTAGGCAACTGAACGTTCTAACAACAGTCCTATGAGGAAGGAACTAATTGTTACGTCCATTCTATAGTTAGGAACATCTTGATCCCAGGCGGTTAAATAACTTGCTTGTGATCACAGTCATAAGGGGCAGAGCTGACTTCTGAAGCCAGGCAGTCCAGTGCCCAAGCTGAACCCTCAACAGCTACTCCCTCTCTACTGCCTCTAACACACCAAGGTACCCTACTCCATGGGCTGTTCTCCCCATCGGGGATGGACCGTCTACACCACGCATGCTCAGCCAGGGCAATATTAGCTCCAAGCGGGGGGAGAGTTGGAGGTGATGTTGCCCTGCCCTTGGGTGATGTGTTTTGGAAAAGTTTTAGATATTAATATACTCTCTGACCCTACTAAGGGCCACAGCACATAAACAGATAAACAGTATATGTGTTGTACTAAAATTCCATGGGGGGAAGGGCAATTAAGGAGAAAGTATTTAAAAAAGCTTCCCAGTGGAGAGATGAGAATGAGAAAAAGGCTGAGAAACACATCTATACTGCTCAGTTTCACCAGGAAATGGCCAATTTTCTGCCCTGGGAAGATACCCTGAGATCCTTGAAAAACATCACAAGGGCATGCCTCTATCAGGCATATAATAATATCACTCTAATATATCCGTGTAATTGTTTGTTGACTATGCTTCTCCCTGGCCAGGCTGTGGGCTCTGTGAAGGTTCAGGGCTGTGACGCCTTGATCACCGTTACTTCCCCACCTCCCATCGGATTCAGTGTCTGGCATTCGGTAAATAACAAATTAACTGCATGCGAGGGACCACAGAGAGGTGCCCACACAGCATCCTGCCACGCCGTGTTCCCGCCTGCCACCCGCTCGTTACTGGTGGAGTCATAGACCACTGTGAGTCATCTCTCTCCCCTGCCCACTCATCTCCTCACTTTCCAAAGAAGTGCTCCAAATGGCATTCTGCCAGCATCAGCTGAATTACTCCTCTTTGCCTGCGTTCGGGAGGAGACTACAGAAATTCTCTCCGTGTTTTTTGGAAACAATCCCCTGAGTAGGGTGGCCAGACCGAGCAAATAACAGGGAGAAAATACGATGTCCTGTTAAATCTGAATTTCAGATCGAAAAAGAATCATTTTTTTTTTGCATAAGTAGGTCTCATATATTGCCTGGGACATACTTATAGTCACACTAAAAAAATTTGCTGTTTATCGGAAATTTGAATTTAAGTGGGTACCTCTATTTTATCAGGCAACCCTACCCATGAGATTCTAATGTATTAGATTAGGGGATTGCATATCAGATAACCCTTATCTTCTTCCACAATAAGTTCTCATCTTGTGTTTATGTCTGGGTGTGGGAGAGGGAGGTGTTAGTAAGATACAAATGTTATACCAAGAACCAAAAAAACAATGAAGGTGCGGCAGAAGCTTATGAATCACATGAGGCAGCTGCTAAGATTTAGCTGCCTCACAAGAGAGGGCAGGCACTGAGCAAGCCTGAGTGGGGAGAGGCACATTTCCGGGCATGGCAGACATTCTAAAACAACGTCCTGCCTTGTGTGCACGTGGTCAGGTCCACTGTTTGGAGGACGGGTGAAAAAGTGTTATTCTGAGGCATCGCATGTGATTAAGCCAAGAACCAAAAAAAGATTCAAATTCAGCAAAGAAATGCTGCTGATTGCCTTATGATTTCTAACAATAAACATTTCATTGATTAATTCCAGGTTCCTCCACTCTTTTAAACTAAGAAAATTCTTTTTATAGAGAGGAAAGTTGACAGAAAGAAATGAACCTTGGAGTTAGCCAGAATTGATAACCATTGTGGTTGGTTTTTTGGGGGTTTTGGTTTTTTTGGGGTTTTTTTTTTTTTTTGAGCAAAACTAGAAGATAATGCTTGGACGTCGTCTCTTCTGTCCCAGGTTACACTGAAATCAAGGTGGATGTCTCACACCTCCCATAACAAGGTTCATTGATAGAATCTGTCTGGTCAGTTTTAATGGCCCTATTCTCCTATCTTTTTTGGGTGACAGAACAATCAGTCCAGGAAAAGAAAAGCACGGTCCCAGGCATGAAGGTAAAAGCCAATGAGATCTACCAAACTGATGTATAAATGAGAATTAAGAACATCTGAGAGTTGTCCTCTTAACTTTGATGTCAGGGAAAAAAAAAAGACTGAAGATACCTCAAGGCAAAACCTCAGGTCTGTTTTACAGAAATCCCAGAAGGGGTCGCTACTTCTATGTCTTCTACGCCCAGTAGTTCCAGAACCTTCCCCTACGCCAAAATGCAACTCAGTGGGAGGATGTGAGGCCAAGGATTTGGAGAAGCCCCAGGGATGCTGAACTTGGGTGGTCCACTTGTGGGAGGGGCAGAGATTCTGGAAACGTGACACTTTGCAGTGCATGCAATGAATATCATCACGAGACACACATCTGCAAGGTGGGGGGAAGCTGCACACGTCTTGGGCATTCAAGGCCCCCTGCTCACAGAAGCCCCACGTGGAATTCAGCTAGGTTCCTTTGTACCAGATCTGTGACACTGTGTCATTAGCAGTTACCAAACTGTCTCCCACGTACAGTGGTGCCACTTTCTAATGTTGCCTCCCCCACTGCAACGTCTCCCATCCACCTCCTCCTCTCTTTACAGAACAGAATAACTCTGTATGGAAACTGAAGGGTGGCTTCATAACACAGTTTGTTTATCAAATGCAGATTCAGCCACGAGAGCTTTCTATGGAGCGTTTATTTGCATACACAATCCGGGGACTATCACAGCCAGCTGGGGAAGTTCTTTTTAATAAGTTCATTCAACTTAGCGGAGAATAGTGGATATTTCAGGCACATTCAGAAGCATGCTAGCCCATTTCTGGGATCCCTTTAATGGATGGTTTTAGACAAACACTGGCATTTTCTTAGACATTAGAATAGTGAAATCTCCCAAACTGACTTCTCTGCTGCCTTTACTTTCCAAGAACATGGGAGACCTTGCTCTGCCTTCACTCATTGTTTGATTCTGTCTGGGCTTCCGTCTGGGTTCAGCATAAGTTTAGTTAACACAGGGAAGAGGCGGAACAGACCACAGAAAGGCAAAATTGTTATGCTGCAGTTAGCAGAGTATTTCCCAAAGTGTAGAAGGCATACCATTGGTGGTATCAGAGATGGCTTCAGGCTGTGCTGAGATAGCATATTAAATAATATTAAAATCAGGAAAATACTTTTCCCTTTTCAATTCTCATCATTCTAGGGCCATTCGGCGGAGAATCTGAGTCGGGGACTGGTGTATCTGTAACGCGTCTCTACCTCTGGCTAATTGCCCTTTAATAAGGCTGGAAAGGGCAATGGACTCAGAGCTTAAAACGAACGAGGTAGCTAGAATATAATCTCTTTTTAAAATTATCCTTATAATGGGAGCTTCCTCTTATGAAAAATGTTTCTGGTTTTCCAAGGGTGATGTAACATGAAGTTTCTTTTAAAGACACCTTCAAATAGAAAGTGAGTCGACTTCCATATAAAAGTACCAGTCAGTAACAGTACACCTGTCAGAAATGATGCAGGTGGTATGCAAGCTTTCGACATTTGGGAGACACTGGGTTAGAAGGATAACCCCAGAACCCTGGTCCACACGGGGAAAGTAGTCTGAGATGTTTATAACTGAGAACTGAAAGAAAAATCACTGAAACTTGATTCACATCATATTTAATTCCCCTCTAATGACGCCCACCACCCAAGGCTCCGTCTTCACTGAAGAGGAGCTGGGTGGAGGCAGGAAGGCACATGTGTCCTGTGGTGGAGACCAGGGTTCTTTTCTTCCCCCTCCTAGTTTGACAAGATACAGACCTTATGCCTAAAGAATTTCCTAAAGGCGAGTCCTAGCTGGGGGCTATGCAGGTGCTTTTTCTTGGCGCCTTTAGCCTGGCTCTCCGCCGTCTTCTGCCCAGCTTGTCCGTCACAGACACTTTCTGCTTTGGATGCCTTTCGGGCAACAGCAGTCACAGCTTAGAACTTTTGTTTTTAAACAAAATCCATTTTTCGGTTGTTTTTAAGTGCAGTAATCCATTTCGACAGTTAGCTGCAGGTATGTCACCCCCGTCTCCCCATCACGAGACATCATGGGGATGTGCATCTTTTTCAAACTTTCAAAGATGATTTATTACAGAGCATATTCACCATCTATTTCAGGTACACATTGACTTTCGACACAGCAACCTATTTAAATGACCCAGATTAATGCCACTCCATGTGCTAAAGACAATGAAAGATATTTAAGCTTTGTCTAGAGGACTTAAAGCCAGGTGAAAATTTTAAAAATAAAAATGATAATGCAGTCCCTACCTGATAGTTTTTAAAATCTAGATGCCACTGTCACATGAAAAAGAAGAAAAAATACTTGAAGACAAGCAATTTATTTTTGCATCCTGGAGTCAAGGCCAGCACTGCGACTGAGTGACTTCCACTCTCAAATTGATCTCTTTTTCAGTATTAGAAACTTCAAGGAAGCAGTATCACCCACAAAAATTTCAGCCGACTTCTGGATGGGCAGCTGTCCCGGGCAAAAGATGTTCTTAGTGTGAGCCATTCCATTGAGCCAAAGTGGGGGGAGATTGGAATAGAAATAGCCCAGTTACAACCATTGAGAATTGCTGACTCAAGTCACAAGTGTGCTAAAAAGTGCCCAGGGCCAAATGAAAAGATGGACAAAGCATGAATCCAAGTACTTCAGTAGAAAAGATGTTAAAAGGGCAAGGCACGGGAACCAGGTTGGTAGAAAGAGGTCTGTTTGTGGGTGTCACGGACAACCTACATCCACAAAACCATCTTTTGAGATCCAGTTCCACCAGCGCTGGGCCCACAGCACTCTGGGCGGGGCCACGAGATTGCAGCACTAGGTGCGTTCAGCTGGGACCACATTCTGGGTGGGCGAAGAGTCTTGGTGCATGAACAGCTGGAGAGAGTGAGGGCATCGGGCCACGTGGGAAGCCACACAACACGCCCACATGCCCCGCTGCTTAGAGCCTATGTGCTGACTATGGGACTTCAAACAATGCAAGACACAGACCGGAAAGAGAAACACTGGGACCCGACCACTCATTGAACTTGACCCTGGCTGCCTGGTAGCAAATAAATGATTTTATAGGAAAACGCATGTGTATGCCTCAGATATAGACTTTTTTCCATGGAGGGAGAAAATTTTAGAGGAAGCAATCAACACAATACACATGTAATCACGGTGGTCGATCTGTCCTGCAGTGACTGTGGAAACAGGGATCCCCTACATCTGAGCAGAGCTCCCTGGTTTACCAGGCACTGTCAAGACCTTCATTCAGTCTTGGGGAGATAGAATTTTTATCACCTCACTTTTACAGACATGGGAAGGTGGGTCCAGACAGGTTAGGATCACACAGCTATCAAGTAGTGGGACTGAAGCTCTAACACAGAATTTGTCTTCTCTGACAAAGTCTAGGATCCTTCTCACAACTCAGCCTCTTCAAATCTGGGTAGCAGATGCCCCGGGCTGGCCAAGCCATTTGTTTGGTCCCAGTGTCTTTCAAAGCCCTTTCTGTTATCAAGAGACGGACACAAGACACTTATCTGTCACCAAGTTAAACTTTCCTCATGATTCCCGTGAAACTTAAGCCACGTGTTCTGCTAGAGATGATCAGCTCTGTCAAGCATAAAGGAAAAACATCTCCAGAAAGTAGCCATTCCAAACAAAATTTATTTTGAGGGGAACTGGCTGAGTTTCTTGGATGACAGTGAAAAAGTGCCTGCTCTCGAGGGCATCCTAACTCCTCTACACGTTCCTACGTTTGGCAAGTGTCGACTGGTGACTGTTTCGTTTCACCAAACAACTGCCACTGCAGTGAGATTAGTTTTTTTTTCAAATTACATGAAAAACAAAGTAAGACTCATTTTTTTAAAAACCAAAAATAGAGCAGCTTACGTCTACTTTAAACTGAGTCTCACCACTTTCTCATTTCCAGAGGCTAATTTTCACTCTATTCCCTGGGTCTCTCCCCACACAACTAAAAAAGACTAAAATGATATACAATGATTAGTATTCTGTTCTTGCTCTATATAAGAAATTGGCTTTTGTGACATTCTTTAGCCAGAATTGGTACGTTTCCAGCTTCCCATCAAAATTTTCATTGAAACACAACTAACGTAAATGGAACGTTTTAAAGACAGTCTAACAGCACTACGAAATCGCTAAATATGTAAACGTGTGTACATATATACACATGCATAAGATTCAAAGAACAAAGAAGCACACATTAGCCCAAATCCAACTCTATACAGAAACCCAAACAAACACGCTACAAGCGACTCACCGTGTCTTCCGGATCTTTCTTTGTTTCAGCTTTGCTGGGTGAAACCTTAAAAGTTTGAAAAAAAACCAAACGTTAAAAGCCATAGCTCTTTAGGGTGACTTTATTTCATAAATACATAATTTTTTAGGGTAGTCCAGTCCACGCTACAGGTGAGGAATGTAATCACGAGTACTTTTCATTTAGCAGAAACTCTCAGACTACTGTGTCCTAAGTATACGTAAGTTAACAAAATTAATATTTTATAACGAAATGCATCTGATCTTACACATCCACCAAGAGCTTGGCCCCACTCAAAACCGTCTCCTGGAGGGCCACAGACTTTCTTTTTCTCCTTTTTTGAAAACTTACCCCTTTTTTCCCATCTTCTTCTTCTTTTTGGTTATTTTTAAAATTTTTGTTTCATTTTTTGGTGTGGGAGCTATTTAGGTTTATTTATTCATTTTTTTCATGGAGGTGCTGGGGATTGAACCCAGGCCCTCATGCATGCTAAGCGCGCACTCCACCACTGAGCTAGACCCTGCCAGCTATACAGTCTTCCCAACAACTCTACCACTAAAGCAAACAAATGCACAGCCCTTTGGTGTTGGTGGCACATTCTGTTGATGTTTTCTGTCTTGCCTTTTGAAGTCAGTCTTGGTCTTTGGAAATAGCCCAAACACTTGGAGCTATCTGTTTAATTATGCATTCACTCATTCAGCCCTTTATTGAGTGTCTGGCATGTGCCAAGCCGTGGGCTCTGAAGACACACAGATGAGCAGGCAATGCAAGACACGGGTCCCCGCCTCCACCCAATTGAAAGGGAGCTGTAGGTGTAACAGGACAGGAAGAGACTTCTACACTTTGATTTGCCATTTGAGTGGCAAAACTGCTTGGATAGGTCCTCAACTCAGGGAATTATTTTCCAATTATTTGTAGGATCAACCACTGGAGGACATCCAGTGGCAGCAGCGCTCCATTACAACACAGCTCATGTCAGACAGTTAGGGCGCCCGCTGTTCATACCGCAGTTCCCAGCACCAAAGACTCCCTCACTGAAAGCCAACTCCCTTACGAAGCACATCTTGTCCCTATTCTCCAGTGTCCCAGCTGCATCACCGTGACACCCCATTTAGAACGAAGACATTCAAGTGTGCATCATTCTTAGAATTAACAAAACTTTCGAGCAATAGAATAGAATAGAATTTTAAGGAACAGAATAGAGAAAGGAAACTGCTTACCAGGGTTTTAAAGAAGCTCATGATGGAATTATTATTCTCTGTCTGGGGGTCTTCCTTTGCAGGCTCCAGTTCTTCAGGGTCCCCGGGGACAGAGCAACTCACAGTTGTGATTTCCTGTCCTTCCCTCCTCCTGCCGTCAGCTATGTCCTAGGAGGAAGACAGAGTTTTCACAGTTGTGACTTGTTGAATGTGTGGACTCTCAAAGTATTATTTTTGCTTCGCGCCCCTTTCTCCCTTACCGCCTAATTCCAGCCATACTTCTTCTGCCCACGGCCGTGTAGAACAATCAGGAGCTTATGAGCATCCCTCTTCCTTCCCCTCCCCCTCTTTCTAACATATTCAGCATTTGCTGTTAGTTGGAGGGACATTGTTTGGAGCCAGAGGCTCACAAACACAGCAGTGCGTGTTGCATTCCAGACAAAAACTCTTTTCTCCCAGCTCTGCAAAGAGGTTGTATATGATGCCAATATTTTGTGGTCTTCTTGTCTAATCATTTGTGTATTATCCTCAGAGATGCTTCTATCTGATTTCCCACAATCCCCACAGTGATGAATTGTAACAACGAAAAAAAAAAGTACTGATGTTTCAAAATAATATTTCCGTTTTCAGGATGTGAGAGTTTACGAGTGCAAGGGGTGTGATTCAGGGACTGGTTTTCTCCTCTAGCTCACTCAGGAGGGTAGGATGCATTCTGAATGCTCTCCTTTTTTCATCTCCACTCCTGTGACCCTGGGCCAAGCCAGGTGCCCATCCTTTCTTCAGGCTTGGGCTCAAGTTTACTTCCTCCACTGAAGTCCTTCCGGGTCCCAGCAGCCACCTGTTCCCTTCTCTGAGTTTCTATACCACCACTCCCTGCATGCTCACGTGGCACATGGGTTACCTTAAAGCCAAGGACCAGGCCAGAACAGTCTCCATTAAAAATGGGGCTTTTGTGGAAAGGAGATAAAAATACATAAACACATCCTGGTGAATATTTTAAAAGGTGGTAATAACGCCAGTATTCTGCAGGGTTTCGCTCAGCCCTGGTACTCTCTCTAAATGGAGCAGTGCTTCTTGTGAAATGCCTCATAAAGGGGTGGAACTTCACAAACCAAAAGCAGAGAAAAGCCATGGTCTTAACAAGCTTTTAAGTAAGTTCTGACGATCTAATATACAGCACAGTGACTATAGTTAATAATACTGTACTATATGCTTGAAAGTTTCTAGGAGAGTAGACCTTAAATGTCTTCACCACAAGAAAGAAATAGAAATTATGTGAGGTGAAGGAGTTATTAACTAAACCTACTGTGGTAATCTTTGCAATATATACACGTATCAAATCATCAAGTTGTACAATTTAAACTTCCACAATATTATACTTCAATTATATAATCAATAAATATAGAAAAAAACAATACCACTTATAATTGCACAAAAAATGAAATACAAAACAGGTATAGGACTTACAGGCAGAAAACTTTACAATACTGAAGAAAGAAATTATAAACGATATAAATAAAGAGAGACATACAATGTTCATGGACTGGAAGACTCCACACCACAAAGATGTCAATCCTCCTAAGTTGATATACAGGGCTTGTGCAATTCTTATCAAAATCCTAGCAAGATATTTAGTGATAGATGAGATTATTCTAAGATTTAAAGGTCAAAGGAATTAGAATATCTGAAACAATTTTGAAAAGAAAGAATAAAGTGGGAGGAACCAGCCTACCTGATTTCAAGCCTTGTTATACAGCTATAGTATGCAAGGCTGTGTGGTATTGGTGGGTGGAGGCACAGACGCATATTTGAATGGGACAGAATGGAGAACCCAGAAATAGACCCACACAAATGTGCCCAACTGATTTTTGACAAAGATGCGAAAGCAATTCAATAGAGGAAAAATCATCTTTGCAATAAACAGTGCTGGAATAATTTTACATCGGAAAAAAAAAACAGAACTTCAATCTAAGTCTTATGCCTTATACAAAAATTAACTCAAAATGATCAAGGACTTAAATACAAAATGTAAAGTATTAAATTTTAAGAAAAAAATAAAAGAAAATTTCTAGAATTGATGTCAAAGAGTTTTTAAACTTGACATCAAAAGCATAATCCATAAAAGGAAAAAATGATAAATTGGTCCCATCCAAACTGAAAGATTTTGCTTTGTGAAAGATCCTTTTAAAAAGGATGAAAAAAAGCTAGAAAGGGGGAGAAAGTATTTGCAAACCACTTATCTGACAAAGGACTAGAATCCAGAATATATAAAGAACTCTCAAAACTCAACAGTTAAAAAACAACTCAAGCAATCCAATCAGAGAATGGCAAAGATATGAAGAGACATCTCACTGAAGATACAGATGGCAAATAAGCATCTGAAAGATGTTTAGTTTCATTAGCCACCAGGGAAATGCAAAGTAAAACCACAATAAGATACCACCACACACCTATCAGAATGGATAAAGTAAAAAACAGTGACAATTTCAAATACTGGCAAGGATGCAAAGAAACCAGATCACTCACACACTGCTGATGGGAATATAAAGTGCTACAGCCAATCTGGAAAAGTTAAGCAGTTTCCTAAAGAACTAAATATGCAAGTATAATTTAACCCAGCAACTGCAAACCTGGATTTTTTTTCCTATAGAAATGAAGACTTATATTCACAACCCAATATATTCATGTTCATAAAAACTTTATTTGTAATATCCCCAAACTGGAAACAGCCAAACGTTTTTCAATGGATGAATATTTAAACAAAATGTGGTACATCCATAGCATGGAATACTACTTAGCAATAAAAAAGGAATGAAAGGAAAAATATCTGTTGATAGACTCAATGACCTGGGTGGAACTCCAGGGGATTATGCTGAAGGAAAAAAGCCTGTCCAAAAAAAGCATATATTGTGTGACTCCATTCATATAACATTCTTGAAATGATCTACTTACAAAAATGGAGAAGAGATGTCAGAAGTTAAGAAAGGGGTGGAGGAGGGAGGAAAGTGGAGGTGCCTATCAAAGAGCAATGTGAGGTGGTGTCGCCATGATGGAAAGGTTCTCTTATGCATTATATCCATGTCCATATCCTGGTGGTGATGTTGTATTGTAGTTTTGCAAGATGTTACCGTTGAGGGATGCTGGATAAAGGAATTTCTTTGTATTACTTCTTACAACTGCATATGAACCTACAATAATTTCAAGATTTAAAAGTTTATAGAAAGTATTACAGGGTAGTGTTGAAAAAGGAAGAATGAAGAATAATTAAAAAGTCTCCACTCACAGCAGCACTGTATACAATAGCCAAGATGTGAAAGGAACCTAAATGTCCATCAACAGATGACTGGATAAAAAAAATTGTGGTATATTTATGCAATGGAATATTACTCAGCTATGACAAATAATAAAATAATGCCATTTGCAGCAACATGGATGGACCTAGAGATAGTCATTCTAAGTGAAGTAAGCCAGAAAGAGAAAGAAGTATCACTCATCTGTGGAATCTTAAAAACAAAAGACAAAAAAGACACTATGAACTCG